TCCAATGATTCTCTTCCTGCTAAAGATCCCCCTGGTGGTTGAAGAAATATCTTCATATAAGCCGCACTGGGCTATAAGCCGCAAGGTTCAAAGTTTAGGAAAAAAGTAGCGGCTTATAGTCAAGAAAAATAGGGTATATATAAAAAAAAATCTAAATGCTCTCTGACATTGTTCAGGGGGCCTGACCAAATGTGGAGGCAGGCCGGATCCGGCTTGGGGACCACTGGCTTTAACAAATATGGAGAAACATATTTTTTATTAAAGTTATGTACTGCAGCTTGAATAAAATGCAACTACATAGCATTTTTGAGAAGTCTGGATTGCTTTATGTGTATTTTGCACGTTGCTATTGACTGTTGCTCATGGGGAGAGACATTTCAGTATCTAAAACTAATAGAAAAAATTAAACAACCTACTTGCATACTGGATGTGGACTGTTGGATGTTAAATTCATGAACAGTAAATATTGTGCTAATTATCAGTATTGAACCAAAGAAAGCAAGGCAGATGCAAGCATTTAAAATGGTGATGCTTTTTATGGGTCAAATAGACTCAAAAAATTGTAACAGCAGCTGCGCAGGGGGGCCCAAACAAATTTTTTGTCAGGGGGCCCAAGATTTCTGGCAGCTCCTCTTTGATAGGACCAAGTCTCTCTTTTGCTGATAATGAACAGTGAAAAATAAAACTGTTTCTGTGCATCTTTAGAATCTCCTCCCAGCTACTAAACATGCTGCCTTGGTGTTACATGAGAAATGCATTGGGACATTTTTGAGAAGAGCAAAAGAAAAAATCTTTTTTTACTACTCAAACCTCAGTGTTCAATAAGCTTTCCACATGTTTACAGCTATTTTGTAAGAAGGTGAAGAAAAAAAGGACTGTCACTAGGGAAAAAAAAAATTATACTTTGAATTGCCTTGTTGCTGAAAATATGCTATATAAATAAAATTACCTTACCTTACGACTGAAATATAATAGCTAAAACCTACGTGTGGACTCCGGGGTTGATTGAAGTCCTGTCCACCACCTTGTCAAACTCCGTCAGGATGTCTTCAAGGGAACCGTCATCTCCGAACCCGCCCCACTCTGTGTTGATGCACATCCTTCCGTCCTCTCCCTCCACACGCTTCACATTCTTCATCTCCTCCATGTAGCAGGCATTGGTTCCCGTTCCTGTTGAGGAAGAGAAGTCATGCACAGGACACAACACCTAAAGTTAATAAATTCATTTAGGCTTGTTTAATTTTTGCCTGTAGTCATTATTTTATCATTTGTGATCAATATATGTCATTTTTAGGTCTTTTTGCAAAGATGTATCTGCAGCTCTATATACAGATACATGGCCTCTTCAGTTCATTGATAAAACTGAAGAGGCCAGTTTTAGATTACTGGCTTAATCTAAAGTTACTTTAGATTAGACCAGTAAATTCCCTTAATGTGTTGAGAATTGTTACATTTTTTGTTCCCCCTAGGTTAAGAGTTTACAATATCAATAGGTTGGTAGTAATTAACATTTACTTAGTTACATTTACTTGAGTAACTTTTGAAGTGAAGTGATTTGAAAACGTTGGCTATACAAAGTAGAACCACAAAGAGGCTGAAGACAAACACAAGCCACAGATTTTCAGTTATAAAAAAATAAAAACCGTGAAAAGTTCCCCCTGTGAAAGACTGGCAACCTGTCCAGGGTGTACCCCAGCTCTCGACCGAAACGTTAGCTGGAGATAGGCACCAGCAACCCTCCCGACCCCATTAGGGACAAGGGTGTACAGAAAATGGATGGATGGATGAAAAGTTCCCCATCCATTTCACAATTATGCACTTCTTTCTTGTTTTTATTGACCACATTTTTTCCTGTTTACTGTTATTTCATATTTTTACTATTATAGTTTTTCTAATTTAGTGTTTATTTTTTTTGGTTTCAGTTTTATTTTCTTCACTGATCAGTGTTTATTTGAGGACAGATGGTTTCTTTACCAATGATCATCCCAATCTCGCAGGTCTGATCCCGGTATCCGCAACTCATCATCGTACCCACTGTGTCGTTCACCATGGCAACTGAACTGATGTCATAGTCCTGTATAGAAAATGACATACATTGTGTTAGACTGGGATCTGTCTCATGAGGAAAAGTTTTTAAATCGCATCAGAAAGAGGACAAAAGCAGCAAAATTATTTTGAAGAAAGTCAGAATATTTACAGACTAGTAAGCATTATGCGCTGACCCCTCTCCTATGGATGGCCTCTTTCAGTAGCTTCACCACATCCTCTCCTTCCACCCCGGAGCAGTTGAAGCCTTTAGTCCAGCGGATCAGGATGCTCTGCTCACATAAACACAAAAATATCATACATTATCAGTGGAACCAGTCTTCAACTCTCAGAAGTGACAAACCAACAAGTTTTGGGAGTCTGAGATTATAGACCTTGTCGATTTCTTTCTGTTCACAGGGAAAAGAGAAGGTGAAACCCAGTGGAAGAGTCTGTCCTTTCAGGTTCTGAGAGTCGAGGAACTCACTAAGACAGGCTGCGATGTGATCAAACAGCTGGAAGGACATAAGCACACACAAACATTTTGTTTAAAGCCAATTCATACCCACAAAACAGAGAAATGTGTTTGTTCTTCCAGTGCTGCAAGAAAAAATGACATTCTGTTCTTATAGCTACTTATGGTGTTCCACAGTGTTCCAGCCTAGTTCCTGTTTTATATTCCTTTCACATTAGATGATAGGAAGCTTAATTTTATATTGCTTTACTGATAACACCCAGTTTTATTTGTCCATAAAACCCAATGTTTCTGACTGCTGCCTGGCTCACAGGATTGTCACAAGAGACATTACCTTACATCGCAGAGTACTCCTGTAAAGTTCATATTTCAGTACGAATTTTTTCTCACGACATGCAAAAAAAACTCAACGGTCGAGCTCCGCTTCACAAGCATGTCTGTCAAGATGCACATTTGTCTCTGATCACTAGTTTTTCATCACCTTCTCTCTTTGCAGTTTTGTTATGGCTGTAGTTGAATTTTGAGTCCCAAATTAACCATATTACCATTGCAATTTCTTTTTGTTTGTTTATAAGTCTTGGTTTTGCCTTTTAGCTGCATTCAAAAAGTCAGATATTAATAAAGATGGATATGTGAATTACCTGTTCTCCAGTTCCCAACATGATTTCTTGAGGGATGGCACAGATCTGACTGTCCATCTTCAGCATTTTCTGCTCCTCCATCACTCTGACGTGAAGCACCCGAAAATTTGTTCCACCCAAATCTAGTGCCAGGAAGTCTCCTTTCTCTGCATGCAGAAAACAAAGTACTGGTGATGGTTTAGCTTTAAACTATACCACACTCCCTATGTAGATTCAAATGTTATGGAATTTGATTCCAGGGTTTTCCAGGTCTGGATAACTGCAGAAAAAGAAAATAAAAGCATTGAAAGATATCTGCATTTCAGGTTTTGTTCCGTTGTTGTTTGTTAAAATTTTGTGCCCTTCCCTCTTTCCTTCTCAGTGTTTTTCTGTCTTCTTTGTGCTCTGACTTCGATTCATTGTTGTATTTTTTTCTTTGGTCCTTCATTCCTTTTGTTCTATCTTCATCCTCTCATCCTTTCTTTCCTGTGTCCTACTTCTCTATGTTGTTTTCTGTTGTCTTGCCTCCAGCCTTTCCTAGTGTCCTTCTATCTTTCCTTCCTAGTGTACTAACTCCCCATTTTCTTTCCATTCTTTTTTTCTGTTCCACGTTCCTTGTGTTCTTTACTCTTTTTATCATTCCATCCTTCTTTTCTTCCTAGTGTCCTAACTTCAAATTTCCCCTTCCTTCTTTCTTTTTTCCTTCAGTGTCTCCTTCCTTTACTTTTGTTATTTTGTCTTTCCTTTCTAGTGTTTTTCTTTCTTTTCTAGTATCCCAACTCCCCATTTTTCTCAATCATTCCTTATGTTAAACATTGTCTTTCTTTTATTCTTTCCTTGTATTTTTCTTTCCGTCCTTCCTTGTACCCTATCTACCATCTTTCTTCCTTCCTGTTTTCCTTCCTTCCTTCCTTTGCTGACACTTTACATGTAAAGTCGATCCGCTGTGAGGATATTTACCATAAAGTCACAGCGAATGTTTGTATCTTAAATACAGTAATAATAATAAACATTAATATACAGTAATAAACTGAGAAATCAATTGGCTCTGACTGAAAGTAAAACTCGTACCAGTCCCGTCCGGTGTTGCCCTTACGAAGGTGGGCAACATCTTGACGGCCGCTCTGTGATGCGCGTGTTTCTCCAGACCTCGGATCATGTCTTTCCGGAGTCGAGCAGAAACTTCATTCAGCTTCTCCAGGGAAAGAAGGAAAGGCTCCAAATATTTCATTACCTGCATAGAGATACAAACAAACTATCAGACGCTATTTTACACACTTTACTAAATGTATAACTTCACAAGCAGTGAGGAAATATAAATGCGAATATAGCGCAAGCGCAACAGTAAGTTGGTGTTCAGATCAAGTGTTCATTTCTCCACCAGATGGCAGCAAAGCACTGCTTTAGAGATTAGCCCAGCATGGCGAGTAGGCTATAATTTGTTCACGTTAAGGCTGCAATGAAGTAGTTACGGAAGAGGATTAGGGTCACTGGAAAAAACAAAACAGTTCTGACTTTAATCTCAGAATTCTGAGATTAAAGTCAGAATTTTTTTTTCTTTTTTCCAGTGGCCCTAATCCTCTTCCGTAACTAGTACACCAAAAAAGAAGGAGAAACACAAATGTTCTTTAACATTTTAATATGTCAAATAAAGAAGGGCTCAGACAGTGACTTGTCTCAGGAGGGAGTCTTAAATTGATACACTTTAAGAAAATCCAGACCAATTGCCTCCAGATTTGTCATTTCCATATTAGTTTCAGCTCTTCTGTGAATGCCTCATATGTTTGATAAAGAACATAAGAGAACAAACAGCATCACCAAATACAGCATTATTCAGAGAGGCAGCCATGATGCTCTTGGTAACTGAGAAGAAGGCTGTTTCCCCTGCAAATAATGATGGGACACAGTAAACATCTGAAAGACGGTGCTCTGATCAGATGACAGCAATTCTGAACTTTTTGGCTGTTGTGTGGAAAACCAGTAACTTGAACACACCTTCCCCACAGTGACACATGGTGGTGGTAGTATTATGATATGGGAAGCTAATCACAGTTTCTGAGAAGATGGAAGGAGCTACAAGGAGGACAGGTCTGCAAGAAAACCTGCCAGAAGCTGAAATGAACTTGGAGAGCATTAGGTTAAAATTTAATCTGGACAGTAACCTCAAACACACATCCGAGCAACCAATGCTTGGTTTCAATCTAGCTACTAGATTCTTGCACATTCATATGTTAGAATGTTTTGGTCTATATCTCAAATCCAAATCTAGACCAAAATCAAATTGATAATTATACACATCATA